TGCATCTATTGAGATGATCAAGTGGTTTTTGTCTTTGCTTCTGTTAATGTGGTTTATTACGTTTATTGATTTTCGTATGTTGAACCACCCTGCATCCCTGGGATGAAGCCTACTTGGTCGTGGTGAATAATCTTTTTGATGTGTTGTTGAATTCGGTTTGCCATTATTGTTGAGGATTTTGCATCAATGTTCATTAAGGAGATTGGCCTATAGTTCTCCTTTTTGGAGGTGTCTTTGCCTGGTTTTGGGATAAGTGTAATACTGGCTTCATAAAATGTGTTTGGCAGTTTTCCTTCCTTTCATTTCATGGAACAGTTTAAGGAGGGTTGGTATCAGTTCTTCTTTAAAGGTCTGATAGAATTCAGCAGAGAATCCATCAGGTCCTGGACTTTTCTTTTTGGGGAGACTCTTGATTGCTGCTTCAATTCATTTTGTGTTATAGTCTATTCAGGTGATTAATTTCCTCTTGGTTCAGTTTTGGATGATCATATGTATCTAGAAATCTGTCCATTTCTTTAAGATTTTCAAATTTATTTGAATATAGGTTCTCAAAGTAGTCTCTGATGATTTCCTGGACTTCCATGGTGTTTGTTGTTATCTCCCCTTTTGCATTCCTAATTCTACTAATTTGGGTTTTTTCTCTCCTCATTTTAGTCAGGTTTGCCAGGGGTCTATCGATCTTGTTTATTTTTTCAAAGAACCAACTTTTGTTTCATTAATTCTTTGTATGGTTTTTTTGGTTTCTATTTCGTTGATTTCAGCTCTTATTTTATTATTTCTCTCCTTCTATTTGTTTTGGGATTTGCTTGTTCTTGTTTTTCTAGGAGTTTGAGATGTATCATTAGGTCATTGATTTGGGATCTTTCAATCTTTTAATATATGCACTCATGGCTATAAACTTTCCTCTCAAGACTGCCTTAGCTGTGTCCCATAGGTTCCGGTAGGTGTGTGTTTTCATTTTCATTGACTTCTAGGAATTTTTAATTTCCTCTTTTATTGCATCGATGATCCATTCTTCATTAAGTAATGAGTTATTAGTTCCAGCTGTTTGCATGTTTTTTGTCTTTACTTTTGTTGTTGAGTTCTACTTTTACTGCATTGTGGTCAGATAGTATGCATGGTATTATTTCTATTTTCTTATATTTTGAGGCTTGCTTTGGCCCTAGGATATGATCTATTTTGGAGAAGGTTCCATGGGCTGCTGAGAAGAATGTATATTGTGTAGAGGTTGGATGAAATGTTCTGTAGACATCTACTAGGTCCATTTGATCTATTGCATATTTTAGATCTTGGATTTCTTTATTGAGTTTTTTGTTTGGATGACCTATCTATTGATGATAATGGAGTGTTAAAGTCTCCCACAACCACTGTGTTTGGCGTTTATATATGCTTTTAGGTCTTTCAGGGTATGTTTGATGAAATTGGGTGCGTTGACATTGGGTGCGTACAGATTGATGATTATTATTTCCTTTTGGTCTATTTCCCCTTTTATTAGTATGGAATGTCCTTCTTTATCTCGTTGATCAATGTAGGTTTGAAGTCTACTTTGTCAGAGATAAGTATTGCTACTCCTGCTGTTTTGGGGGCCATTGGCTTGGTAAATCTTCTTCCAGCCTTTCATCCTAAGCATATGCTTATTTCTGTGGTGAGATGAGTCTCCTGTAAGCAACAAATTGTTGGATCTTCTTTTTAATCCATTTTGTCAAACGGTGTCTTTGATGGGTGAATTAAGTCCATTAACATTAAGTGTTAGTACTGATAGGTATGTGGTGATTCGCATTTAGTTATCTTAGTTGTTTGAAGGTTTGATTGTGTGTACCTAACTTGATGTTACTCTCTACTGTCTTGCTTTTTCTTATCCTGTGGTTTGGTGCTGCCTGCCTTTTCATGGTTAAGTTGGGTGTCACTTTCTGTGTGCAGGATCCTTGCAGAATCTTTTGTAATGGTGGCTTTGTGGTCACATATTGTTTTAGTTTCTGCTTATCATGGAAGACTTTTATTGCTCCATCTATTTTGAATGATAGCTTTGCTGGTAGAGTATCCTGGGTTGAAGTTATTTTCATTCAGTGCCCGAAGATCTCACCCACGCTCTTCTTGCTTTTAATGTTTCTGTTGAGAAGTCTGCTGTGATTTTGATGGGTTTACCTTTGTATGTTACTTGTTTTTTCTCTCTTACAGCCTTCAATATTCTTTCTTAGTTTCTGAACTTGTTGTTTTAATGATGATATGTCGTGGAGTAGTTCTATTTGATCTGGTCTGTTTGGTGTCTGGAGCCTCTTGCATTGTATGGGAATCTTTCTAGATTTGGGAAATTTTCCGTTATTATTTTGTTGAATATATTACGCATTCCCTTCGCTGTACCTCTTCTCCTTCTTCATGCCCATGATTCTCAAGTTTGGTCTTTTGATGGAGTCAGTGAGTTCTTGCATTTTCTTTCACAGGTCTTGAGTTGTTTAATTAATAGTTCTTCAGTTTTTCCTTTAATTAACCATTTCATCTTCAGTTCTGAGATTCTGTCTTCTGTTTGTTCTATTCTGCTGGATTGGCCTTCCGTTTTGTTTTGCAGTTCTGTTTTCGTTCTTTTTCTGAGGTTTCCATATCCTGGCTGTTTTCTTCTTTATTGTTGTCTATTTTGTCCTGAGTTCATTTATCCATTTATTCATTGTGTTCTCTCTTTCACTTTGGTGTTTATACAGTGCTTCTATGGTTTCCTTTATTTCTTCTTTTGCTTTTTTCAAATTCTCTATTTTTATTGTCTTGGAATTTCTTGAGTGTCTCCTGTACATTTTGGTTGACCCTATCCAGTATCATCTCTAATAAAATTCTCATTGAGTACTTGTAGTATCTTTTTTAAATTATTCTTGTGGGCTTCATTGGGTCCTTTGGCTAGTTTATCTTCATTTTGTTGGAGTCTGGATCTGAGTTTCTGTTCTCTTCATTCCCCTCTGTTCTGTACTAATTTTTTGCTGTGGGGAAACTGGTTTCCTTGTTTTTTTCTGTCTTCCTGTCATTGTCCTTGGTGTTGTTACTGTCCCTGTACTGTGTGCAATTAAGTATTTTCTAGCTTGTAATAATAACATGGTAATATTGAGAAAGTGGAGAGTGGCTGAGATGGAAAGCAAGAAAGTTAAAGAAAAGGGTAAACAAATATACAGACAAGAGGGAGAAAGCAGAACAAGGTATAGACAAGAGAGTTTCAAAAGGTATAAACAGGAGTGTTAGTGACTAACGACAGTAAGCTGAACAGACATAGAGAGACAGAGAGAGGATTGAAATAAAAATAAAAAAATAAAAATAAGTATATGAAGTAATATCTATTATAAAAATGATTAAAAAATGGAAAATAGAAAATTAAAAAAAAAAAACCAAAAACTTCCAAGTTATTATGCAATGCAATTTCAGTCTTAATAATTTGGATGTCCGTTTCAATCTCCAGTCCCTGGAGTTGGTGCTCAGATGTTGTCTGTAGTTGTCTCATCAAAGGGGATGCATAAAGTAGAAACAAACTACACTCACACACACACAGAAGAAAAAAAAAAAAAGCCCCACAAGTGTCCCAGTTCAAAATGCAATACAGGTTTCAGATAGTTTTCGGCCTTGCAGGTGTAATTCGGTTGTTCTCTCATCAAAGGTAGGAGAACAGAAAAAAAAAAAAGCATCTGGAGACAGTTCTGGACAGTGGTATCTGCAACTGTGGCTTGGCCTGCCTGCTGCTCTCAGCCTGTAGCGTGGGCGGCGTTATTACTGCAGATCTCTGGGTGAGCTTAGCACTCCCTGGGTCCCACAGGCTTTGTTTGCTCAGAGTTCTCCTGTGCGCGGCCCTCTGCTACAGCCTCACCTTTCCAAAGCACTGGGAAAGGTGCCACTGCCCCGCGTTGCAGGCCTGCGAGTTTATTTACGTTCACGGTGGGAGAGTGGGTCTTCCCTCTCTCACAAGGCCTTCCCCTGCTCCTGGGTTGCTGGGCAACACGCCCGCTCCCCCAGAGCCCTTCCGCCGCCGGCCTCGTTTTATTCATACAGTCGCCGGGAAGGCTTCCGCTTCCCCCAATCTCAGCGCTCAGGGCCCCCCCACCCTCTTTTCCATCGTCTTGAACTTGTTCTTATAGCTTGTAGCTCAGTTTTCGTTTCTCCTCCTTTTTTCCCGGTGGGGTCAGTCTGTCCAGGGGGGGG